GGGGGGGGGGCAGTGCTGATAGTGTGGTGCTTCAATCACATATAATACAACACATATTATTTCTTCAGTTAAAAGAAACTAAAACCTTTACTAATCAGTTAGGGGTCAAGAGCTACAATATTCAGCTTAAGTTTGAAGCAAAATAAGTCACTTTTTAAACATGCATTAATTTGTGATATCATATATTCTGTACAAAAACACAACAAACTAGGCCAAAAAATCACCATATGTTGTATCATTAGTCCTATAGTCATTAGAATTAAATATATCTTTCTTTTTTTTCTGATTCATAAAATGTAGCCTCCCTGAGCATCAGTGCATCCAGTGCTTCACAGAAAGATATTTCCATACCTGAGTTAGTTTTCAGTTAGAGTTAAAAACAATCTGCTAGGCTGTGAAATAGGAGCTACATTATCAGAAGCAGCTAACAGGGAGAAAAAAATTACAGAAGAAAGGATAGTGGGCCATCCAGATGGTTAAAATGGCACCTATGGAACGAAGAATTTAGAAAGAATTGGGTAGTTTATGAGCCATGAAGTCAAGTGACATCCTCATTGCTACCTATATAGAGATGCTGCTGCCACATTGAGTGGACCAGGAATCAAAGGGGGGGTGGAAATGCACCACTGCACCCTCCCTAGATTCACCCGTGTTCTAAGTTATTCGTGGTTCTTTTTTCCTTCCTGCGTTGCCTTCCCATTTTTCTTTTCTTTCTCTTCATCTCAATCTCAAAATTTGCCAGTTTTATTGTACTGATATAATTAAGCCAGCAACACCTGTAGAATAGACATAGTTATATAAGTACTAGCCAATGCCTGTCACGAATGATGGGGGCCAAGGCGAGGGGCAGGGATGGGGCCTCCAGGGATCTGCTGCCTCCAGGGAGCAGGGGGATGGGGCCAACACCACTGGCATTGCCCCCCCACTCTGTGACCACCCCCCACTCCACTGGCATTGCCCTCCCTACTCTGTCGGCTCCATGGCTGCCACCTCTAGGGAGTGGGGGGTTGGGGGGGTGGGCCAGTGGCACTGACCTTGCTTCCCCATCCACTCCATCATCACCACTGCTGCTGCCTCTAGGGAGCAGGAATTGTGGGAGGGGGGGCCGGTGCTGGCCTTGGGCCCCCCACCCCCATCCTCCTTCATCACCACTGTTGCTCTGTCCACTGTGTCCTTGCTGCTCTTGGAGCGCTCTGGTTGCTTGTTTCAGTGCAAATAAAGTGTTACAGACCGAAAGACAAAGACTTTTATTTATATAGAATTAAAGTGCCTATAGCTTGTATATAGCATTGTAAGCTATATTCATATAAGGGTTTTGTTAAAAAAAAATCACTCCCCTGCCACATAGCTATGCCAGGAAAAATTTCTGTTGCAGGCTTGTCCTCACATTTAGGCCATAGTACATTTAACTGGCATAAGAATCCTGCCTGGCTTGAGTAAATATTCTGTATTTGCACAGGTGACTGGTAGCGGGGAGTACAGGGGGGTATGTGCCCCCCCCGAGATTGGCCCCTGAAAGTGCTGGGGGGGCCTGTTAATGCACCCCAACTCAGCACTGCTCAGGATAGGGCCAGGCACAGAGCGGATCCCCGCCAGCCTGACTGTATGGCCGGGAACTGTGCTCTGCTTCTCTACCCAGCCCCACCCTCCCTGACAGTGCTTTGGAGCCTGGAGCATCAGA